GTCGACACCACGGAGGCCGGCCCCACTCATCACCGCTCGACGAAGACGGCGCGTCGCCGGAGCTCGTCTTCACCAAGCCCGTGCTATGGACGCTGACGCCACCTAGGTCGATGTCCCGGAGGTCGACGCCATGGAGGCCGACCCCACTCACCACTGCTCGACGAAGATGACGCGCCGCCGGAGCTCGACTTCACCAAGCCCACGCTACGGATGCTGACACCACCAAATTCGATGCCCCGGGCGTCGACGCCACGGATGCCGCCCCTACTCACCACCCCTCGATGGAGACGACGAGTCGCCGGGGCTCGTTTTCACCAAGCTAGCAATCGAGGCCAACGACACACAAATCACCATCACCACTCACATCTACCTTGTCATGGCGGCGTGGTGAAGGTGTTGACATAGAGCTCGCCGAGACGCCGCCCACCGCCGACGTCGCCAAGCCGCTGCCATGGAGGTGGATGCCACGAAGATAGCCATCATCACACACCCTTCGCCCGCTACATCGAGCTCGTGCCCTGAAGGACGAAGCTGCGGAGCACACCATACTATGCTGCCCTGTGTCTTGGTTGAGGATGACGAGGCCTAACTTTGATGCCGGCGCAGTGTCTCTCCCACACCTCGGCTGGACTGGATGGTGCCATCCTTCCGAGTACCATCGCTGGGTATGGCCGCCTGTGGGGGATTTCCTATTTGGCGCTGCAGGCGCCCGTTATAGTGCAATTTGCAAACGGGCGCCTGCAGCCGAGTTAGCTGGGCTCGGCCCGTTTTGCTTTTTTTTTTCTTCTTCTGTTTATAGAGAAACGTCAAAAAAAAGTGCATGACCGAGGGATCGAACCCAGCACCTCGCCGCAGCGAGCGGTACGCTCTAGCCACCCGGCCGTGATCGCTTCTGTCAAATCCTTTTTTAGTCCACTTATTTATTATCTACGTAAGTCAGTTTTTTCTTTTCTTTTCACCCCATCCTTTTTCAAATACTGTGAACCTTTTTCGAAACCAATAAATTCCTTTGCAATTTCGTTGAACTTTTTTTTGAAATCCGATGAACTTTTTTTAAATCCGATGAACTTCTTTTAGATCCAAGGAACTTTTTTTCGAAATCCGATTAACTTTTTTTAAATCCGATGAACATTTTTTCAAATCCAATGAACTTTTTTCAGATTCGGTGAACTATTTTCAAAATTGATGAACTATTTTCGAAATCAATGAACCTTTTTTCAAATCTAATGGATTTTTTTCAAATTTTATGAATTTTTTCTAAAATGATGAACTTTTTTCAGATTCGATGAACTTTTTCCCAAAATCTATGATTTTTTTTCCAAAACAATGAACTTTTTTTCAAAATTGATGAACTTTTTTTCAAAACGATGAACTTTTCCATTTAAATTCGTCACCCTTTTTTTAACTGGTGAACTTTTTGTGCGCGATAGTTATTTAGAAATGCGCGCTGCTTTCGATTATTAGCACTCCAGTGATACAGTGGTAGCTAGTCTCTTGCATTACCGTCGTGGCGTGAGATCGATCCCTGTCGACGCCTGCTTTTTCTGTATGTTTTTGCGCTACAGTATTTCGGTGTGGGCCGGCCCAGTAGGACCTCCCCGCCTGTGGTGTACCCGGAGAACAGATGAACATCGTGAGACGGAGTACACTATGTACAGGTGCACGTATAAGGCCCAGCACCAGTGCACGCATGAAGACTGATCGCCGGCTGGCAATCACTGGAGACGGCCACGTATGACGACAGATGCCTAGCCTTGTCGCTAAGTTTCTAGTCTACCTCTTGCCGGTGAAATCATCTTTGTGTTGCTGTGCACCACGAAGTGGCCATTGCGCGCGCATGGGCCATGCACGTAGTCATTTGATGGCAGGGTGGCATGTTTGTCAACCTTTCGTCGACCGGAAAAGCCATCGGAGCCCTCACGCGAGATGACTCGTGACCAAGCTCTCCTACGTTCTGCAACATCATCACCATCGTCTACATCGAGCGCTTAGAGGAGACGAAGACATTTAGTTCGGTGTCGTCATCCGAGCGGGAAGAAGCTTATGTCGACCACGTGGCGGTCTGTGGCCTCCTTAGAAGATGGTGCCACACCAGGGCGATGCCCGCGCCCTGCTCACCGAAGAGAAAATGTCTATTTGGTCCGAAGACAAGATGCGACGGCGAGGCGACGCAACTTCAACGACAACACTGCTCCTCTACGAACTCGTGAGACGACGCCGACTGTCGTGGACTCGGCGTCTGGCCGGGACGAGGTGTCGACCACTCAGGCATGCTGGCGCGAGCAACGCGACGGTCATACACCGACGCCGGTCTCCATCGACAATTACTCCCGCAGGGTGTAGACCCTTGTACACCCCGAGAAGCTACTAGTCGTCGAGAAGTCTGAGCCGAGCGTGATCCATGCTACCCCAACAACAACAACTCCTCCAACGTCGCGAAGACCGACGAGGCACGACGGCGAGGGCGAGCGTGGGCATCGCAAAGGCTAGCTACACGCGGCGCGTGTACCGACGAGGACACGGGCTCTGCCACCGCCCACACACACACACATCACCATCATTCATGCATGGAGAACACGAAGCAAAGATGACGAAGACGACCACACAGCTCAATCGAAGGTATCTCGCGGAGCAACCCGCGGGAGTAATTAACCGGGAGTCTTCCGAGGCCTCGGAAACCAGGAGATCATACAATCGCTATAGTCAGCCCGGCCGCGCTAGTAGGCCATGGAGTGCACATTTTTATTATGGGATCTTGTAATTTTGTTTCTCCAACGAGATTAATGAAATACATGCTTCCCGTACCTTATTTTTTTTTGTGTACTACGGTGCACTGGCACGCCCGCATACTCATTTTTTTTCCCCGGCGTATGAGAGAAACACACTCCCTTCTTCCCTTCTTCCCGGAGTCCCTAGATATTTTTCTCGTGTCAAACAAGTAGTGACCTTATGCTTCCAACTCCGATGAGGTTGTATCGGTGTTGTCATTAAGGGTAACTCAAACCAACTCCCCGCAGAGCAAATCCCAATTTCCTAGCACTCAGTTAACTGAGGTTGCACTTAAACTTGATGTTGACTCACTTGTCTTGCAAAATCTTGGTAACACTAATTGTAGGCTCAGAGGCTAGGACAAAGAGGTGAGGGTATTTCTCACGAAGGGGCGTTGTACTTAGCCATTTGGTGAACTAGAAAAAAGTGTCCCATCCGTTGCCTACCGCAAATTTAGTATCTAAACTAATTTAAGATCGTCACCCACAACCCCGTGGGATTCTAAGAAAGCTTCAAACACCATTTCATGAGAAGTAATATATTCATCTTCTTGCAAGTGAACAGCCCAAGTCCATCCAACCATATGGTATTTCCTTTTCATGGCATCCCATCCTCAAAAGAATCTGGCTCTGACTTGTTAAATTGTTGTTGCGTTCCATCCAAATAGAAAACATCTATAATTATGTTACCACATGTATACGTCTACAAGAATTTCGTCGAACAACCCTTGATAAAGGGTGAAAAACCATCCATCAAAAAGAGTTTTCATGTCCTCAGTTTGGCTAAAAATGTTCCCAAAATGGTTTCTAAATGTCCGTGCGAAACAAACTCTTGGCTACTCTAAACTAGATGTTCAAAAGTCGAGATTTTTGACCAGGAGAACCGGAGAACGAACACCCTTTGCATGCATCTATCACATGGATCCGTTCATGAGACCACGCACGGCGACCAAGCCCAAGACGAGCAGGTGGCCCACCTCCGGCCCCACCGTCAGCGTCAGCACGTCGTCTCCGAGCACCACACCCGCCGCCGTCTGCTTCCGCGCCACCTCGGCCACGACCATGCCATCGACGTCGCGGATTCTGTACTCCGGCTTGCGCGAGCATCCGTCCATCGTGTAGCACGTCCCCGCGCCGTCGTGCATCGTGACTGCGGCCCCGCCCTTCTCGGCCCGGCGCACGCTGAACCAAGGAGTCGCCTCGTCCCCCTCGCCTCCGTCGTGGGTACACCGGCAGACCTCCCACCTCCTGAACATGCCGCCTTTGCGCCTGATCCTGATGAGGGCGTTGCCGGCGCGGTCCATGAAGAGGACCTCGCGGCCGCCCCTGCAGCCGTAGTTGTCGACGCGGAAGGCGACGGCGCCGTCTGGGCCGTACACCGCGCAGCCGTTGCCGTTGAACACCAGCGACTTCATCCAGAGCGTGTACGCCTGTCTGCCCTGCTGGTGATCATCGGAGGAAGAGATGGAGCAGGGAGAGGAAGGAAGGGGCTGGATCTTGGCCATCGACGAGAGATGGAAGAAGAAGATAGCTCTGCTCTGCTGCTGCTGTTGCGATGATTGGGATGGTGGCTGCAGTGGTTGGTTTCATCTATTTATAGATGCTTGAACTACTTTGCTAATGGCAGTGTGTGCGTCATGCGTAAGGATATAATAGTGCCGCACACCAAAGTTGTTTATGCTCCATCTAGTAGTACTAATGTACTGCTCCTAGTCAGCATCCGATTAGCATCAGGTTTTGCTAGTGCTTCTACGGTAGCAGTTCCAATTTGTTTTGCACAACATCGATCCAACGCATGCGGTTGAAACCTGGAACAAATTAAACCGTGATATAATGCAATGCAGAACATATGTGTACGCTTGCATTTTAAAATGATGATCGTTCTATTTGGAACACTTGTCCGAAAATAGATTGTTCTGACAATGTACGCTCAAGGAAGGATAAGTACCTGCGCCAAATTAAACAGCCAGGCCAGTTTTAGTTCTACTCCTAGTTTTCTCTCGTCTTCCAGTCCATGGACTGTTCTGGACCGTGGGCGATAAAGCTTCAGTCGTCCTCCCCCCCTTTCTGATGTCGGGCTGCCGGTGACCCTCAACTTAGTTTATCACATCGCTTATCGACACATGGCATAACTGAATAAAAATAAGTCACTTTTTTTTTGTCACAATGTAGTATTCCTGGATTTGTGTAATCAGGTCCCAGCTCTTTGGACAATTGGTTGTTCAGTAGCGATGACAGAAAATGGATATGCACGCTTCTGATCTGAGCATAATTCTTTAGCTTCCAGCTAACAAGGACAAGGGCAACGCAGTGCTATTCATTAAACAAAGCAGATGCCATCCCCAAATTGGGAACCATGCGCAGATCAGCGACGACTCTGTCAATAATAGAGCGTTTTGAAGATCACTAATTTGTAACGTCAATTATTCTGCGGAGCGCGTATAAACCCTCCATACATGTTACAGTACCATATTTTGTACTGGAATGGGAGCGGAATCAGCCAGCAGAGACAATGAAACTCGTTGACCAGATCATTGGCCTTTTTTATGAACAGGAGATGACCGACACCTTTTTTTTTGCGGGGTAGGTAGCTTACCAAGCTGACCGCTTGGTGGAGATGACCAACACCTGGAAGCGTGGACGTGATCGAACAGTGGTGCCCCTAGTTTCGTTGGGCATTTACCTCGACGAGAAAGATAATTTCTTTACGCGTTCATGCTCCGATCGTATGTACGCGTGGAGCAGGCTGAACATTTGTTTTTCCGATTGAGAAACATACACACCGCGTGCGAGGGTGTACATATGGTATACTATGCGATGTACACATCACATCGTGGATCGGCCCTCTAGAAAGTTAGAGGAAAATTAAAGGATCGAGCAAGCACAGTTCGGATCTGATCCCTGATTAGCCCCACTTATTAAACAATTTAGGCTCCAAACATCAACGAATCCCTTTTTTGCGGGGACCCCAACTAATCCTTGCTTAAAGAGTGTACGGACTCCCTTAACATGCTCTAGTTCATTCCTATGTCTTTATTTGACCAAAATGTTTTGGTAGATTCTACTTTTGTT